ATGAAATTAGTGCTTATACAACTTATCTATTAAAAATTATGAGAAAAATTATTTTAAAACTATATCATTTTAATAAAATACCACAAAAAATAAAAAATATTCCAATTCATACTTTAAAAATAAAATATTTTAATCTTTTTTAATATAAATTTATTAAAATGACATAATTTTGAAATAATTTTTTCTAATTTTTTAAAAATAAGGCAAATAGATATTATTTTCATATAATATTATAGGTTCAAGTAAAGAGAAAAAGAAATATGCATTAAATAATGCAAATTAATCATTTTCCATAGTTGGATCAAGCTTGATTATTGTCAAACAAATAAATAAATAAATATATATATTGACGATTTGTTGCACAAGGGGAAGCAACAATCTCTCATTTTTTATCTCATCTTATCTGCATGCCACGCGATTCAAATTCAAAACCTCTTACTTCTAGCGAAAAAAAATTATTATTGAGTTACTTGGATCATTGGTAACAAATAAATATTAATTGTACATCAAAATATTATAATTGTTTTATATGATTGTTATGAATATTAATTGTTACATTGTATTTACACCTATTTTTTCAACAAATGGAATAGTGTCACGTGACATCTATATTAGTAAGTGTTTTATTTGTTGAAAAATAATTTTGTTGATGTAGATTTCTCTTAGAGAAAACTCAATTAATTGTTTATGCATCATCAACAAAGTCATTCGATTATTGTGTATTTTTAAGAGCATGATCGACAACATCAACAAATTAGTAAGTTTGTTACAGATTTCATGTAAAGATGGTAATTTCCCTTGATCCTTGTGGGGCCCTATGGGAATCCCTGTCTCATGAGGAGGAATATTCCTCCTTGTTGCACTCTTGTGACAAAGAGGAATATTCCTCCTCTTGAGACAAGGACAAGAGAAGTGTTTCCCTAGTGAATTTATGCGAAGAATTTTCCTTGCTCAAGGAAAAATTTTAAAAAATATATAAATTAATTTTATTTTAAATTTAATCCAACACAATATATCAATATATTTCAAACCAACTCAATTATTTATATTGGATTGATCTTTGTTTATGTTTGAATAATTTATATTTGATTTTACCATTTGTTATTGACTCCACTTATTACAACTAATTATATTTTTATAGTCTGTAAAGATATAATCTAAACGTTATTACTATTTTACAATGAATAAATCCACTGGTTTAGTTATTTATGGTGAATTTATCTTTATTTATATTTTGATAATTTATATTTAATTTTATATTTGAAAAACTTTAGTTAATTGTGTTTGAACTTTTAAAATTATATTCATTGTAATTGAATATTAGTTGATTATAAGTGAAAAAATTCATATTTTAATATAAATTCACAAAGAATGGGGATCCCTGTAAGGAACAAGGAAGAAGAGCAAAATCTAGCCCTATAAAAAATCTTCGTAGGACCTTGTTGCCACCCCTAATTTCATGTTGCCATAGATCTTTAGCATATTGCCAAAGGATGTTTATTGTTATAAATAGACAAGAATGAAATGAAGTAAGGAAGACCAAACTCTTACACAATAAGTCCAACGTTATTTATATTTTAATTTTCACAAGTAATATCTTAATTTAGATTTAATTTTCTTAAACAACTTTCTTAGTTTAGTTCTTAATTCTACGTTACCAATAGCTTTAGGTCTAATGCTTGTTATTTTGTTTTGAATATCTCCACTGATATATTTGATTTCTTGCGATTCAATTTATTGTACTTTATTTTGACTTTATCTTCCCAACTTCATTTGCGAGGGCATCACACTTACTCTTTGTAATTTAGTTTTCTTGCTATGCACTTTATTTCTTCTCTTTTCCTCTATTTTTCTCTTTGGTTTTGATTAGCAAACTAATACATTAGCCTTAGTTATCAAAAGTCTTTGATGTTTTTTCAAGATAATTATTTATGAACTTTAATGTAGGAATGCATCATGATTTTTAGTGGCAATCATCTTATTATGGTGCATCTCATAATTTATTTAACCGACATTTTTCAATCAATTTGTAGCCAAATTCTACATTTGGAAGTAATGACAATTTTCGAGAATACCTTTTTCTAACCTTGAACAAAATAATTAACACACCTTTATAATCCTATCTACCATATGCCTAAAAAGAGAGATTTTGGAGTCAGCACATTATAATTGTTAATTTATAATAGATAAAATAAATTCTAATTTAATAGTATAAAAATTATCTATAAAATAATATTTTTAAATATCTTAATTAGTTATAATTCAACATACTAAATACAATCATTGGATGGAAGATGTAGCTATTACACCCATCCAATATCAAAGAACTCACTCATATTAGATGATTAAAATTATGCAATCTAAAATAATCATAACTGCTCAAGCAAAAAAAAAAAAAAAATCATAACTGCAGAAACACTTTTTTTAGATTTATGAAGAGCCTTCACATTTATTTGTGCGGTAATAAAGGTCCACGGCCCACGGCCATCGCAGAACAGCACCCTCATTTGAGCTTGGACTTTACCAAACAAAATTGGACTGACATACACAAGACCATTCTTTCAGGGGTTTCTTCTACCCAATATTTGTTGTAAGAAAGTGGACCTTCACAAAAAATTTTTCAAAACCAGCTTATTTGATTTTCTTTCTCTAATAGTTAATATAAAATTTTGTTTTATAATTTGAATTGTATTTAATTATAAAATAAAATTTATTAAATAAAAAAAATTTAATATTAAAAAGTTTAAGTTTTATATAACGATTAATATTATGTAATTTAATACAATTTCAATTATACAATACTTTTTCTAAATCAAAATATCCACATCAACCATTAATACAGAGTAAGCTTTTCTTTTCTTTTCTTTTCTTTTTTCATTTCATCAAAACGTTATCACGGTTGAAGTAACAATAATCAAATTCAGAATCTTACACTCAAAGCAAAATTAATATCACTAGGCCAAACATGATTTGTAGGTAGAATTGAATGCAAAGTCTCTAGATCTCCACGTCCAAGCTGGCTCAGCCACGTCCTTAGTGCAGTTCACCTCTTGATGAGCAAAGTTCGAATCCTAAGAATCTAATATTAGAATTTTCTAGTCCTCGAGAACATGTACAGATGTACTCCCATTAATGTACTAAGGGGTAGGGTTTGCCTTAAAAAGAGAGAGAGAGAGAGAGAGTTGCGTTGGTTCAACGCAGGCGCAGGGACAGCCAGACAGGAAAGAATCTTTTAGCGGGGCCAAGTCGAGCAAGATGTACATGAAATTAAGAGATTACAGCCCCAATGCTATTATTAATCCAGCAATGTCGGGGGGTCCAAAAAAAAAAAAATCTCAAGTTTTTTTAACTCATGTACCAGCGGCTAGGCTCTGCTCAACTCAGCTCAGAAAAATAGCTTAAATAAAATCAATGACAAAAATAAAAAAGGTACCAACGAAATTTAAATAATTAAATGATAATATATTTTTATTAGAAATAAAAAAGCTTAAGTTTGCGTTGTATGGTATGTGGTATATGAATGAGGTGGGGTGAAATAAAGGATGAAAAATGATTATTTTTCGTTGTGTAATCAATATAAAAAAAAAAAAGTTTTTGACTTTTTTTAAGAAGGTTTTTTCTATTACTAGTATGATGTAAAGGTTGAAAATGAGTGAACAGGCTCAGCACATTGTTTGGAAAGGTCTTTTAATTTTTGAAAGATTGTTATGCATTTTTAAAGTCTTTAAAATTAAAATTATAAATAATGTTATTTTTAGTATAGATGTTTTATTGTTACATTGTTTTAGTTTTATTTTTTTATTCAAACAATCTTCTTGTAAAAGTTATAATTAGAACAAACAAGTTTTAGATCTACAAACTATTAATGAAAATTTAACAAATAAATTATTAAAAATAGGTATATGCATAATTTTATGAGTTTGATAATTATAATTAATAACAAGATTCATTTTTTAGAATAGAAAAGAAAAAGATTAGAAATTTTGTGAAGTTTCTAAGACACTTTTAGCTTTAGAAAGTTGATAATCTTCCATGACCTTTGTTATTTGCTTATCATTAAGCATTGTTTCTATCTTTTACTGTTCTCTTTTTTCATCTCTCCCTTCCCTTCTTCTTCTCCCCTTTTATTTTTATTTTCCTCTCTCTCCCCTCCTTTTTTTTTTCTTCTCTTTTATTTTTGCTTTCTTTTAGTACCAATCCACCATTTCTTCTCTACCTTCTTTATTCCTTTCTTTTACCTCTCCTTTCTAGTTCACCTTCCCTTCTTCTTTACCCTCTCCCTTTCTTTACCTTTTCCTTCCTTCCCTTTGCCTTTTGCTATTTTCTTCTTTAGTTATAACAAAGGGGATGATGCATAAGAAGAAGCTTTCCTTTTTCTTTTTTTTTAAATAAATGAATGAGTGTTTTTGAATTATGGTATCAATGAAGATTCTGTTATTTAATTTAAGAATAAATTAAAATGTATCTTGTTTTATACTAAAACATTTAAAGACATGTAATAGTTTTTTAAATGTTATCTTGTGAGATATTGATCACATTTTTATTAATATTAAAATGTCAAAACTTATTTGTCATTGATTTTATTTACTCTATTTGTATTTAAATATATGTATATATATAGTTGTATTCTCTTAGTTATAAAATGAGCTTTTTTTCATTTATATAAATGTCGTATAACTTATTGTTTTTAAATAAATAAAATTTCACTTTAGTTTTTAAAAGAAAAATGGGAAAATGGTTATCATTTTAATTTTATGCTATGAAGAGCTCAAGCCGAAAGACGAAAGCCGACTCCTCTATGAAGCTGGCTTTATCAACCCAAAGAGCAGCCCATTGGTCATTGGATTAACATTTAACAATGACAGCGCCGTACAGACAACGTGTCCTCTCGCGATTAGATGCACACGCCATCTTCAGCATACGATATTTTCAGGATACCAATTCCACCCCCTCCCCCCCACCAACTCTCAGTCGCACCCAATAAAAGCGACTTCAACACCCCCGTCCCATTTCCCATTCCGCTCGTTATCGGAGGAGCACAATCTATTCTCTCTATATTTTCTCCTCCCATCCCTCCCCTGTGTGGATCACGATCTCAAAGATGGTAATGCGTCTGCTTGATTTTCTTTCGTGTTTGTTTGGTTACCAAGAAACTGAATCTTCATTTTTTTTGCTTATTTTTTAGTGTAATTTCTTGACTATTTAGTTGATCATCGTTGCTTTTGATGTTATATTGAATTTTTCAAGTGGTGTTGTTTTTGATCTGTGTGGGATCTGTTAAAATGGCTGCGATGATAGAAACGTTTGTCAAAATTTTTCCTGCAATGTGCACTGTGTTTTTCGTTTTATTTTTTGAATTTTAGGTCTGATTTCAGTTTCTTAGATATCAAATCTCTGATTCCTTCTCGGCAGCTTGCTGTGATTTGATTTTTATATTTGATTCCTGAAATGGAACATTTGGGACTGTCACTGTTTTGGCCCAGAGGATTTTGCAATTCTGCTGAATTTTAATGTGCATAAGGAGCTAAGGTCGTTAATTTGTCAGCAAAATCTCAAGAGCAAGAAAGGAATGGTATATGATCATCTTTTTAGAGTTTGCATAAGATGAAGTTGATTACTTGATTTATATTGATTAGAACCTTTACCGATGGTTTTCTTTTATATCTCTTTTTTCCCCTTCAATTTTCAGTAACTACAGAGATTAGAGGCTAATTATTGTTCCCTTCATTTTGGGTGCCTTTTTTTTTGTACATGTGAATAAATGTCTACTTGTAAGGTGCGTTGTATCGACGAGATGTGGGCATTTGAAATTGCCTTGGATACTTGATCTTTATGAAATTATCTTGATTGACAGGCAGCATCTGGAATGGCTGTGCATGATGATTGTAAGTTAAGGTTTTTAGAGCTTAAGGCAAAAAGAACCTATCGTTTTATAGTTTTTAAAATCGAGGAGAAGCAAAAGCAAGTTGTTGTTGAGAAGGTTGGTGAACCAGCTCAAACCTATGAAGATTTCACCGCA